TCACAGGGACTAAAGTGAGTGCTCAGTGGCGAGGCAAATGCATACGGTGATGACAGAGCCGACAGGGCATGACAGGAGAGAGTACTTTGGTGAGAACACGTCCGCTCTGTCCACTCATGAAGACATCATAAAAGGCTAAGATCCCAGGTCTTCTCACCTGTATCCGTCTATGTAACTGGCATTAATGTAGTCAGAGCGTTCTGGGCCCCTGATTGGCTGGAGGCAGACGCGGGTGGTTTCGTAGGGCATGATGTTGACCAGTCGGTTCTTGAATTTGTTGCAAGGCAAGTTGGCCGTGACAAAGCGGGAAGTGTGGGCTTTGGTGTTGGCCAGTCGCTATGCATAAAAAAAAAGAAAAATTAGTCACGACAAAATGAACAAATCTTTGCTTGTATGGTTATGTAATATACAGAATTACTAAAATTAATAAATATGTTGGAATTTTATTGTAAGGAAAAGCTTTTTAACCAGTAATCTACTAATAAACCTACACTTTTAAGAGACATTAAATGAGTCTAGTCTGTGATTGGTTGAGTCAGAATAAACAACACAGACTGGACTCATTTGTACCTTAAACTCCAGCTCCATGCCAGTGACATGCTCTCCACTCTCCACCTTGGACAGCTTTTGCATGTAGGAGTACAGACTCCTGGCTGCCACCTCCGTGTTCCCACAGGCCACGGCCTCCAGCAGGGCCTCGTGGATGAAGCTGTATTGGTCCTCCGTCTGCACCATGTAGTTCCTCTGCGAGCGCATCAGGGTCACGTGGCCGTAGATGTCCACGGAGCGTTCATGTCGAATACGCTCCAGCATTGCATCAATGACGATGAAACAGCCGGTGCGACCGACCCCAGCACTGAGGGAGAGAAACGACTCGGGACGTGAACTCCTGTCACTCAACTCAATGTTGTGCAAACTTTGCAAAATTTCATTAATTCCTGATTCCCCTCCTCCTGATAAGCATCACTTCAGATGTACAGAATTATGCAGCATGAGAAAATCTGCTGGCTGGTACTAAATGTGTGTGTTTGTGTACCTGCAGTGGGCGATGATGGGCCCAGCGTCAGGGGGATTACAGGCTTTGACCCTGCGGAGGAAGTTGAGGAATGGCGTTGGATATTCAGGAACACCATGATCTGGCCAGGCAGTGAACTGGAACTGCCGCACCTCTCTACGCTCACTGCAGCCACTCTGAAGAAGAAGATGAAAAAAAAAAAAAATCTTTTCATTTCACATGTATCAAGACAAACTACTGATATTTTTATTATGTTTATCAGATCACGCACTCTGTAAAGTCCTGTGTACGCCATGACAAATTAGCATAATACTAGAATGGCTGTTGTTTCCTGTGCTATAAATCCTACTACGAGACATGTCTCCTAATGTTTGTTGATCTTTTCAAAACACATCAAATGCAAATTCAGCCGAGCTGCACTTGGCCTGGTTTCTGTGTTTATAAGTAGGCCACTGAGGCAGGGCTGTCAGACGGTCTCACATCAGCCTTTCACTCTACTCTGCCTCCTACAGCGATCGCTATTCTGCACCCAACACGGAGAGGCTGGCCTGGTTTTAACGCCGCGGTACGTGACGTCTGAATTGTTCTATTGTCGGCTTTAGCGCAGGTACTAACAACTCCGGCAGTAACAATGGAAACTCATGAATGCTGTCAAACTGTAAGTTTTCAATGGATGAAATGTTTAAAAAAAGAGGGTATGCTGTAGAGGGAGGAGGATACAGCTGCATCTCCTTTACCTTATGTAGGGAGAAGGTGCGCACACAGAAGGTGGCCAGTTCCATCGTGTCCAGCAGGGTGACCTGGGTCATCCCATACGTCTCTGTACCACGGCTGGGCCAGTACTGATCACACTTTATCTGCACACATTCAAGACAAATGTTACATCTTATAATGTTAAACAATATTCTACAAAACTGATCATTTTAACTTACAATGAACCTAATTATTTTCTCATAAGTGAATATGCTGCGCAGCTAGCTAACATAATCTTGTTAACAGACACTTATAGTACTGTTTTAGTAGATGAGGAACAAGGAACTCTGCCAGTTTACTTCTCTAGATCCCAGGAATAGAACGCTTACTCTGAAAGGTTATAAAAAGTTAAATCTCTAGTTTAATATTACAACAAGCCCAGTTCGTTTTGTCAGACAAATGGTCCCATATGCAACATTTTGGGAGTTTCCTAAAGTAGCAGGCTAACTAGTAAGGTTAGGTATGAATGGGCTTCAGATATAACAGGGAAATCCAATATTGCTTACTGTAGAGCTGCTGGACTACCGACATTGGAAATATGGGTCAAATGTGAAGATCTGGTGTCCTACCCTTGACTTCTCCTCCAGGCGTGTCATCATGACCACAGACGCGGCCCGCTGCTCCCACACCATCCTCCAGAAATCCCCAAACGTCTCCGACAAAGGCCCCTGCGTGGCGATGTAGGCGTTCTGTTTCCTGTAGCCGTCGATGTAGTTGGCGTTGATGTAGTCGCTCCCCAGAATCCCTGCTAGAGACAGACACCGATGAAGCTTTTGCTAAACACTAATCTGCATATGGCAACATACTGAGTTAACCTCTGTGTACCACATCAAACAGCATAACAATCTGTCACTTTCTAACAACCGTGGCTTCCAAAAGACAGCTGTTGGACTAGAACAAACAAAAAAAGGCTTTGACGGTGTAAAAGCCTGAGCTCCAGATCAAATCCATTCTCCCCCTTGTTTTTTTTTTCTGCCAGAACACTGGCTGCACTTGAATGCACTCAAACAGTTTGTCAGTCTCGTGCCACTGCACAAAGAAAGTCTGCGGAAACAGTTTCCAATTCCAGATTCCATCCATCATGCAGCGCTCCCTCCCTTTTCTCCCCCACTTTAACTCCCTCTTACTCAAAATCCCTCCCTCACCCACACAGACTCATTAGATTAAACAAACATCTCATCAAACTTTTCTTACCATCTATGGGAGCCAGGATGACTCTGGTGTGATCGTACGCTATTACATTAGCATAGCGATTCTTGGGCTTGTTGACCTCCAGGTTTGAATGTTCCCAGGTGAACTGCTGACTTGGGTCGATGGACTGGGCACATCCAGTAAAAAACAGAGAGCACATTAGCAGTATGCAAAGGCCTACTGAGCGATAGTGTACTTAAAGAGGACAGAAGCACAGAGTGCAGGCTAGTGCTGACAACTCAGAGCAATTAATTGCGCTGCTGAATAAATGATGAATATATAGTCTGCACGCAGAGTTACAGATGTTAAATAAGATTCGCTCTGCGAAGCGACGGCTTAACATCTCAGACAGAAAAAGAGAGAATCAGTTTATCCATGTGAAATAATGAGTCATTTCTCACCTCATACTCCTGGGAGAGTCTCAGGTTATCATTAGCTTTCAGGAGCTCAATGTGCTCAGCCAGCTCGGTGATGGGGATAGGAGGGTGGCTCATCATTCCTGCAGTAGAGAGAGGTCAGAGGTGAAGCCCGGGTTAAACTAAATGTTTCAATTAACGGTACAAGTTGTACAGTTTAGCACAGCGGCTGGTGAAGTACAGTGAGTTCTTGTAGGCTAACTAACCTCCTCGATCCTGACCAAGCAGGCTCTTAAATCCAACCAGAACTTAAATCTGTCAGTTGGTAACACACTTAAACCTTCAGTCTTAGGGAAAATGAAAAAATACTTTTCGTGATTCAAACTATTTTTGAAATGATTTCACCCGTGCACTAGACTTAAACTGGAGGCAGACGGGGAACACCTAAACACTTTTTTTCACAAATGCTGTTATTGTTCCTTGTTGTGAGTAAATGTAAAAAGACCTTAATATCATGACACAAAAAACCCCATCCATCCAAAACTAACTGCATTTTCCCTTTTCAACATTTGAAATGAAATAGCGTTCATTTTTTACCTGGATCATAGTTAAACTGTAACACATCCTTCCATCGCTCTTATAAAGGATGTGGAAATAATCTCAGTCTTGTAGACACATCACATCAAATGATTAAAGAACATGCCCAGGCAGAAAATCAATTTTGATCCACGTGTGAGGACAAAGTGAGACAGGCCTTGTTTGTTTGTATTTTGTTTTTTTCTTTTGATAAATTACGTTCAGTGTGATCGGAACACAGAGCGCGTAGGAAAAACAAAGAATGGATGAACCCTAATTAGGGAGGGCTGTGTGTGCGCACACACAAAGAAAGCTACCTACACCCATGCCTCCTGCTGTCAATTCTTTCATAGCTGGAGCTGCCACAACAATCCATTTCCATTCACAGAGCAAATATCTACAGCGATAAATCAAACGCTGCTATGCACTGTTAAACAAGCCATTTAACACAATTGTCAGTATACACCCCCGGTGTATCTGCTATTACAAAGCATCTGGACGCTATGTAAAAAAAAAAAAGCACAGGAGGTCATTCTGAATCTCCCTCTACCAAAACATGCATCGGCTTTCCTCTCCTAGCGCCTGCCCTCGGCAGCGCCCACATGTAATCACTACAAAACGCTCCTGTCACGACCAAAATGACCTGAGCTAGCATCAGCAGGTTTTGTCAGGAAAAAATGATCTTCGCTGAGCATTTCAAAGAGGTGAGGGAGAGAAAATGTGTGAAGAGAATCTCGATGTTGCTGCCACCAGTGTAAAAATGGATAGAAAAGTGAAGGGCGTAGTTCTGCGGCCTCTACTTTGCTTCACAGGGACAGGATTTAAAAAAAAAAGTATTTGGTAAATGGACCAAGTACAAAAGCAAGAAACATCTGACTTTATAAAACTCAGCAATCTACACTCTTTGGTGACGCATCTTTGGCACAGTGGCAACAAGGTGACACATCTTGCAGTTCTGTCAGCGAGGATGTTTTTTTCTTTATGAAACGCAGGCTCAAAAATAAAGTGAGAACTCTGTGTATCTTTCAGATGCTGCTAATTGTTCACATCATTGGTCTGAAGCCACAGCAGCTGTGTTGTTAGCTCTTACTCATCGGCTGGAGCAGAGTGGCAACCTCTATGTCGTTACTTCTCAGTTGGGTTTTCAGTGGGTTATGAAATTCAGAAAATACATTTCATCAGGAACTACCGCTCCGTTTTTTTGTTTTTTTAAATCGTCATTTGACCGATGATACCTGTCATGGAAAATTAAAGACAGACTGTTCTTAATGTGTTCTGATGTGCTATCTGCAGCGCAGCATGTGGAACGTGGGCGAGCGGAGATGATTTGATTTTAGTCACACCATTATGACTCAGCCCTGACTAGACACTGTGACTGTACTACAGTACCTGGGCAGCGGCCATTTTGCTCCGAGAACTGACTGGGAGCCGCCAGTTTCATTTTGGTTCTGATAAGGAGGAGGAAGAGGTGGGGAAGGAGAGGAAACCCTTCTACAATCAAGTCTGTATAATTTTTAACCAGGTATAAAATTAGCTGCATGAATATTTGATCATGAGATGATGAAGGAACTGGAAGTGGGCTTTATCAGACAGTCACACACTGTGAGTGTTTGGGTGTGTGAGTGGGCGCAGGGTCCATACCGGGAGTCTGGAAGTTGATGCGTCTCATCTCCACGGGGTCTGTGGGATGATGGGCCATCATCTCAGCGTTACTCAGAAGACTTTTGGTTCCAGGCTCTGAGTCTTTGCGTTTGCTGCTCACAGACCGGTGAATAAAAAGAGCAATTAGCATGTGCAAATAACCAGGGAGAGAGAGCAGACTGAGTACTGACACATCATTAACACGGCTGCTTGGTTTTAGTAAATGGAGCAGTGGCTAATAAAAGCAGTGTTTGGTGTCTACGTTCTCTAAGTATTATGCATTTGCTGTTAAAATGAACAAAGATAACATGATTTAATCTTACCTGTCAGGTTTGCTGCTTACAAACAGGAGAAGGAATAATTAGAGTCAGAAACGTAAGGAAACAGGCAGATTGTTAGAGAGAAAATCAATACTTTCACATTAGTATTCAAAAGCTTGATGGCTTGCACCACATAACACAGACCCACAGCAGGGTGAGGCCGTTTGAGAGCAGCCGGAGGGGAGAACAAAGTTCTAAAGTGTGAAACAAATTTGATGAATATCTAACTGAAAGTGAAGCATTGTGTGGGCGGACTGAGGATAAACAGCTCTGCTACATGAAATATCAGCTGTAGACGCACACAGTGGGCACGGGCTTGTCAGGTCAACGTGATGTAGAAGGCTGGCAGGATTGCGCCAATCTTTGTTGGAAAATCCTTCAAAGAAAAAATAAACCCAGACTAAAAATACTTTCTGTGTAGCCTGAGGTGAACGGCTGAAAACACTGCATCACCGGTGTAGATGCTTTTATTTACAGAGTTGATTCTGTAAAATGCCCTGAAGGCCAACAGAAAAATAGGCAGATATTTGCAAAACATAAACAGATTTATTGATATGACTTCAGTTCATAATAGTCACATTTGTACAATGAGCAATAATGAAGTGCAAGCCATCCAGCCATGTATAATGATTCACTTCACATGTGATAGAACTGAGAAGTAGTTTAATATGGTCATTGATTAATGAACAATAAAGTCTGGCTACATTACCACAGCCAATGTCAGCTCTCTGACAAAAGAAACTAAATGTCTGTCTAACATAATGTAAATACATGTCATAAATGGTGAGGATTATTGATAGTTATTTATGTCTAAGTTGTTGTTTTTCAGTTTTCAATGTGGACCACATGAAGTTTTCTCTTTGATCCTCACAATTTTGGAATCCAGTCGCGTGCCAGATTGGACAGTCTGGTGGGTAAAATTCAGCTCGTGGGCCGCCAGTTTGGAATCACTGGCCTTAAGCTCAATTTATCCACAGACCCGCAGGTTATTCGTTAGGTTAATTAAGTGTGATTACCTTTGGCACTGAATCTAAGTTTCTTCTCTTAGAGGCAGTAAATATGATACAGTCAACACTTGGCTGTTTTTACAGACTGCCTTTTTTAAAGCAGCACTAGCAGAACTGCTGTATCTGCCAACTCTGTATAACACTGCTGGGTTGACATACAGTAATATCTGACTTAAGAAAAATCAAACTTAAAATATATCTCTAAAAATATACTGTAAATATTACAAATAAAACACAACTTACTCATTATAGAGTAAACACAGAGTAAAGGCAGCCAACAGAACAAGTGTGTCTAATATTGTACGGCACTGAAAACTCACTGGTGGCCCAAAAAAAAAGGAAAAAAGGAAAGAATTCTGTCCCTCTTGTTGACCTTCTTTAGGTGTTTGTCCAACTTTGTTTGATATCATAGCAATCTTACTTACTTCTTGTAAAGGAGGATAGCGATTACTATGCAGATGATGAAGACCACAGCCAGGACAGGTCCCACCACCCAGATTAGACCATCTCCTGGTTCCACGGGCTGTGGGTCTGAATCCGGGGCAATGACTGGGTCCGTGTATGGGCTGGCTACATACATTTTCTGGAAATACACGTAAAGATACGTCATCAGAGAAGGATATTGTGACTGTTTTAACAGTGTAACGACAGCCGGCGAGAAAACACAGCGACTATTGCGTTACGCTAGATTTCAATGGCTGTGACAAGGACACAAGGGTGCTGTGCTTTGACACTGTATTTCATCAGTCTTTTCTATTTCCTATCAATACAGCACCAATATCCTCATTCCTGTCTGCAATACTTTCTTAGGAAGATCTGAAGTGCATTTTTATTACTTCTAAACAACTCCTGAAAAACATCCCAGTACTGGGCTTGCTAATAAAATGTAAAAAATCTAACATAAAAAATAAAATCTGTCTGATTCGCACCCTGTATTTATGTCTATTCCAATTCAAATGAATGCATATCCCAGCACAGTGCAGGGCCATATATCTTCCACTGCCACAGTCAGTGCACTCACTCTTTATTAGTTGTCATGATGGAAGTACGTGAAGGTTATTGCCTTTTGCTTACAACACTTTGACTGATATCCAGCAGTGAAGCCATATTGATTACAATGTATAGTGACAGACTGTGTGACAGAAACACAGCCAGGGTGGTTGTGTTAGTAGGTGGGGGGAGGGGAGGGAGGTGGGGGATTATAGCACAGGAACAAAACAGATGTGACACAGCAGGTTTTATACCCCGGTGGTGGAATTGAGCTCCGCCAGGATGAAGAAGATGTACTCCTGCCCCGCCTCCAGAGCTCTGTTTTCAAAGCCCCCATAGTCCAGCTGGTCCCCCAGGGTGAAAAAGGCTGGGAGGGTGGCAGGTGTGAACCGTGCTGTGATGTAGGCACGACGCATGTCCACCTGTTTCTGCTGCCGAGAATCTCTTTGCCTTTGACTGATGTCTTTCAGCAGCTAAGAGATAGAGAAACAAAAGTTCTGACTGAGGCACAGTGATACTGAAAAGGTCACGGATACGTGACATATTTTCTGGATTATAGTTTGGCTTACTAGTTTTGAAGCGACTTATATATCAAAAATACACACCAAATAATTTACGAGCACAAGAGGGCACCGGCTGCACAACTGTCAACTGAATCTTGACATGACGCCATTGAAAAATGAGTCGAACAAACTAAAAAGACTCCCATAAAGAACACAAATAAATGCCACTATAGAAAAGCCAGAATTTAAGTGGCAGATTATAAAAATAAAACCAAAAGAAACTGAGCTTCTCCTTCTTTTTTTTTGATCAGGTATCAAAATTATATGTATAAAAGAGTGTCAAACAACCAGACTCAATTTTTATAAACCAAGAACAGTCATAGTATAGACTCCTAAGAATTACCAGCCCAACATATAAAGTTGTGCTGAGCAAGTTAATGATTTAAGACCAAACGGTACTGCACCTTCCTTCTTATTACAACTTTTAAGTGTATTATATCATTTTGGGAATATCGATGCAATACATCACCCTTAATTGCATTGAATAAGGCAATTAATCTTGTTTAAAAGTGAAGTCCAAATTTACAAGATACATTTTCCTTTAATGGACTTTTCAGTTTTCACATTAAACTAGAATTAAGGCTATCCTTCTGAAAAACCTTTACAATGGGGAAAAACAGAAACGTACATACAGTCAATATTATATTGAGGTTACATTAACACAGTACAGTAGATGTAGTAGCAAAATTAGTTTTTAAAAATATAATTGAAAACTAAAGGAGATCACACACGGAGCAAGCGTTTTAGTCCTTCTTAAAAAAGTTGAAGAAATCTTTTTTGAGACTACACTGCACAATCATAGAGGAAGCAATGATTTCAATATGAAATGTGGACAGAGAAAAAAAGTTGAAGAAATCTTTTTTGAGACTACACTGCACAATCATAGAGGAAGCAATGATTTCAATATGAAATGTCATTTATAAGCTAGTTTTAAGCTCAAAGATGTAACTCATTTATAAGCTAGTTTTAAGCTCAAACCAAAGAAAACAAAGAAAACATCTGTTGTCAGATGAGTACTGTTTCAGCTGGGAATATATATACATATATTTTCAAAGATGAAAATAACCTTTTCAACTGTGTCACATAATAATTAGGTGCTGAATGGCTCACCTCCTCTAAGTCCATCTCATCTGGACTCTTTGGGTGCCTGACGACACCACGGGTTCTCCTTAGTGGAACCACAACAACATAAACGTTTCTGTGTGGGTGAAAGATAAACAACATGAGACAAGCTGCCATTGTGCAACAGTAAACACGTCTTGAACAATTTTAACAATACAGCCTGTGTTCCAGACATGCTGTCAAGTCTGGTAAAGTCATCATCAACCCCCACATCCACTGACACTGCTTTTCTCTGATCACAGTCAGCCAAACCAATTGTTTATGAAAGCCATGACAACCACATAAATAAACACGGTGGTATCTACATATGCATCACTCAGTCTCACTTGACAGGACTGCGGGTCTCCAGTGACGGCAGGATTAAGGTGACAGTGGTCTCCGTTTCACGGGCGTGGTCGACTTCGGGCCGCCGGATGGTGATTGGTGGGGAGGTTTTAGCGGTAATGCGGTGACGAAGGCCTCCCATGTTGCCCTCGGGCGCTGTAATCTTGAAGTCATAGCTAGTGTCAGGTTGGAGGTTCGGGATGACAGCCTTCTTGAGACGAGCATCAACCTCCATTTTCTGTCGGTTATACTCCACCTAAAAAGAAAATCAAGACACAGGGTGTTCAAATGTTGTATTTACTTTAGGAAAAGACTCATTCTGACCCTAACTTCAATACGTATGTATACATAGAAAAAGAGAAACACAAGGTCGAAGAATTTCTTCTTAGAACCAGATCTTAAACTTTTGCTCTTCAACTGAATGGACTTCGTAATTAAAGTTAAGTCTATACATTTTAAAGCAGCACACATTATAGCATCTGACCAACACTACATACTGTATTACACTATGCAGGATCAAACTGATTGAACATGTACATGCATTATACTCATGGACATACAGAGAAGCGATATGGGTTGCTGCTCTCTGGAAACTCCCAGGTCAGGAGAACACTGGTCCTAGTGGCCAGATTGACAGAAAAATTCCTAGGAACATCTGTAGAACACAAGACAAAATATAGGATCAGTTTTAATGAAGCCTTTTATTGACGCTGCAGGCTCCTCAGGTGTTTGACTGCAGTCCTGTGAAAAAATTAAAGTAATTTTTCAGTTGAAGAAGACATGATTGTTAGGAAGTTGTGCAAGTGATGAGGAGAGTGGATGGAAGGAGTTATAAGTAAAACAAAAACAGAAGACAGAACTGCAGAGGAATTTTGTGACATGCCACATTCTCAGAGTGTAAGTGTGTGTCAAACTCAGAATTTCAGTTTGTCAGCAGAGGCTTGAGAATCGGTGTCAGTGAAGGACTAACATCTTACCTGCAGGTACAGCTCCTGATGCCACACATCACTTGAATTCAGACTGAACACTTACCGTCCACATTAGATACTGAGTATTAGAGCCACCTGTATTGATTTTTACCTAAGGGTCTGTGATAAGCAATGCACTCAAAGCAAACACCCTGATCTTTCAGCCTGCTTCCACTCTTGGTGAAAGGGTAGGTGATGAAGGTACAAGTGAGTGAAAGGAGGAGATTGGGGGTAGTAGTTGTGATTCACTCAGTTTTGCCATTTGCTTTGCTTCACAGCAGTGCACGGGTGAAAGGCTGACCTGCAAGAACTGGTCCAGACTTGATTTAATTTAGTGATTTGGAGTGAATTCCACAGGAGGGGCAGCAGAGATGTGAAACTGAACCGGTGCTCGACAGCTAACGGCAGCTTTCATGGCCCAAGGCCAGCCCTACCTGTTTCAAAGGCCAGCGTTTGGAACACCAGAGGTGGACTGAACGGACCTGGCCCTGCCTTGTTGTGGGCTCTGAGCTGCAGCTCGTAGGCAGTGCTGTGATTAAGACCTTGGATGATGCAGCTGAAATCATTTGCTGGTAAAGAGACTATCCACGGAGGAATGGAGAGAGACGATGAGGTAGAGGCTGCAGGATCTGTACTGGGTTTGGGGTCAGTGACCTGTTTGTAGGCTACGGTGTGGCCAGTGATGGGACTGTTGGACTCTTTGGAGGTGAGTGGGAGCCAGGAGAACTGTACGGAGCAGCAAGTGACATTGACAATGTCAGATATTTCGGGGTATCCCATGGGTGGGTAGATGGGCACTGTTATTTCCTGCTGTGCCACATCACCGTATCCTGCTTTGCTCTTTGCAGAGAGGACAAAGACGTAAGTGGAGCCTGGGGAGAGGGTTTTGACAGTAAAGTTTTTCTCTCTGTTGCCAAACTCTATTGTGGTGTATAAAGCGGAATTCTTCAGGCCAAACTGTAGGCGGTAGCCCTGTATTTCCACTGGGAGCCGCCGGCTATTAGAGCCTGACTCAAAGCTTTCCAGAGGAGGAGTCCACCACACCTCCACTGATGGCCCTGATCTCAGACGCAACTGAAGGGAAGGTGGGCCGGGCACTGCAAACAACAGAGGAGGAAGCAGGAAAATCAATGGCATCATATATTTATAGAAAAGGCATATTTCATGTAAATCTTATAGAAGAATTGGAATTGATTGAGTGCTTTATTTACTGCTCTCTTCCACTGCAGCTTAGATCAATGATTTAGTATGTTACTATATCCAGTGCATTGAACTGTATGCTTGGCATATGCTTACCAATCCCCAGAGTCTGCACCAGCTTGGCTTTGCTGTGTGCTCCATCCCCTTTTGTGGTGTATGCGGCTACTGACACAGAGTACACAGTCTCTGGTTTCAGATCTCCCAAAATCAGCTCCTGTGAAAAAAAATCACAACACCTTCACCATAAGGTCGAACATTCAGAGATAAAACCGCAACATTATATAAAAGAAAAACTTGTTTTAAATGTAACTTTCTATTGCTGTTTTTCATTGTTAAACTATTTTCTAACTACAGTACACAAATTCTACTTTTGTAGCAAAGAACAAGCTAAGGTTAGGTCACTTTTCAGCTAATTAATTCTAAGGTTAGGTCACTTTTCAGCTAATTTCTAGCTATTTAAAAATGTTAGCTATTAATGTCAATGGTCTTAGTTATGCATTTGCTCTTTTCATTTATCTACCTTTAGATACTGTAGCTTACTTTGGATACAGTGTATGCTAAATGTAAGCAACTTCAAGGATGATACTTTGGCCAACAACAACAGCATCCAGGTGTGTGTTTACTAGCACCTTGAGTGAGTGAAAAAGAGTTTACTGTAGAATTCTTTCATCTAAATTATTTTGTGTAACACTAAATTATCGTCTTAAATATCTCATCAAGAGCAGAAGCTGTTGGTTTGTCACTTTAGTTTTCATAATCGTTTTTGTTATTTAAAATGTTTTTAACACTGTGCGATAAAACAAGAGCATATGTAACTGACAAAATTAAACTGACAAAAAGTAAGAAACCCAGTGGCATTGGATCGGCTAATAAACTCCTCGGTTAAAAGTCTTAATGAGGATTTTATGGCTTCGTTTACTAAAGCAGAAAAGGACGGAAAGCCTGCACTCACGTATTGAGTCGACTCATCCTCCTCTTCCATCTTATCCCAAACAAACGTATGACACACCCCGCAGGCAGCCGAGACAGATGAGAGGAGAGCACCAGGAGGGAGCAGAGAAGAGAGGGATATTTAATCACAAAAGAAATGATTTAACCCTATAAATATTCAGTTGCTGTGTTACCTGAGCGTCATCCAATAAAAGGTCTTTGATGCGGGGCAGGTTGCTGCGTGATTCGCTGCCCGCTGCTCGACTAAAGTGCACCTGGTAGCCCCTGATTTGGCCTTGTTGTAATTGAGGCAACACAGATCGCCAGGTGACTTGAAATGCCGAGGAGTTGAGCGGATGAACATCCACCTGACGAGGAGCTCCACCAGGGACTGAGTTTTTATACACACACACACACAATTAATAGAGCAGCAGTCTAGACAGTAAATAATCAACTAAACGATCAATACTGTTTAGTTGGGTCTGATCTATGGCTCTCGTCCTCACCGTCCTCATCAGTTCTGCACAGCACCGTCGGACTCTTGTCTCCTGTCCCTCCCTCAGTGGAGGCTGCCACGGTCACGTTGTACCAGCTCCACTTTTCCAGCCCCTCTACCATTGTTTGCCCATGCAGGGCTGGGACAGGACGTCCCTTCACCTCCTGGCCCTGACCTTCACCTCCTGCTCCTATTATTCTTTGGTATCTCAGCTCATAATTTGCCAGCTCTCCATCCTCACTGTGGATTGGAGGTGGCCTCCAGCTTACCCTCAGTGAGGTGGAGCTGGCTTTCTCACAAGAAACACCCTCAGGGGCAGCAGAGGGATCTAATTGGACAAAGGGCAAGGAGGGCAATCGGCAAGGAGTTTAAGGTAGACACACGAGAGGAGGTGGTTTAGAAATGAAGAGAAAGGACAAGAACCGGGATGGAGAATGAGGATAAAAAAAAAGGAAATATTAAAATGTCTACGGCAAAGTGAAGTGAACGCAGTAGCACAAGGACAAACATGACTAAGGCAAAAAAACAGAAAAAACCAAACAGGAGAAACCACATATTGTAAAAGCATCATGTTAGGCTTACAGCCTAATGAAATAAACCAGAGACAAGAGTATTGACCCTGTGTGGACAACTTAATTATACCCAAGGAGAATGTGTATCCAATAGCCAGTGATTATATATTATCCTGCGGCTATAGCTGGTGGCATGAAAGGATCCAGATTTATGAATGAAAAACAAATAAAGCCTTTCTTTCTGAAGCCTGGCCCACAGTTGGCTGCACAGGAGCACAGACAAATACACACATTTCACATCAGCAGCCCCCACGGTGGCATAATCCTTGAGTTCTCAGGATAATAGAGTGGTCGGAGACTTTGCACTGCACACTAGGAGAGAAGGTCTTGTGCTTCATACAGGAAAGGAAAAATTGGAAAATACGAACCCAAACAGATCTCGCGCGGGGACAAAGGGATTTAGGAAACAAGTTTAAAAAAAAACAAAAAACAGAGGAAAACAACAGTGCCTGAGTGAGAAAGGCACTCAGATGGATAGATGGATATTGAAAGTCAGGCAGCAATGATGAACAGTCGACAAGAGCTGAATCTGAAAAAGACTGTGATGTGGACTGTGACAAATGTGAGTGGAGAAAAGAACAGTAGGGGAAAATCATCCAGACCTCACATTAACTGTGGTGTTCACTCACTGTATGTCAGGCCTGTCCAAGGTCAGGCCCTGGGGCCCAATACTGGACGGCTCTTGAGCAGGTTTTGCTCCTGGTCTACTTTCATTTTAAAAAATCTGTGGGTTTTGCTCCTGGTCTACTTTCATTTTTAAAAAAAATCTGTAAAAACTTTTTTTTAGATGCCAACTTGTAAAATGTTAAATCTGCACAACTCTTAGTTTTTAGGAATTATTAATAAATGCTAACTTTCTTTGCTCCGACCTCTAGTTAGGACTTGCAATATAACAAATATTTTGGGGATATTTTGGGGATATACCATGTTAGGTAAATATTTCAAATAAATATGATATAATGTAACATTTATTTATTTTGGTATTTTAGTTCATATCTATATTATAGATTAAATTCTTTTTGAAATGATGGTCTGTCCAAACCATCCACATCACATCATTCTTTATGATGGCCTAAATCCAGTGACATGTTTCACTGTCACAGGATGTTGGTTCCTACTAGTGTATTAAACCAGCCTTCCTTAGCAGAGAAGAACAGCGGTCACCACCACCTCTCTGTGTGACACACCTTAAGCATCAGACACAAGCACGGCTGAGGGACCAGTGCTTGTGTGCGAGCTCAAGTGTAAACTACTTCAGTGTGTGTATGAGCGGGTGTGTAATAGTGATAGCCGACAGGTTCAAGCATCTATCCACTCACCCGTACAGCCACTGTGCTGTTGGCCTCGGGGGACAATCTAGATGTGCACCAAAGCCTGGTGATAACCAAACGCACAGAACCTCTCTGGGAAATGAATTCTGTCGCATGAAATGGCCTGCTTATCTGGCACCTTCCTTTTAACTGCACGCTGCCTCCCCCGCTGCCTCCCACTGCAACCTCCCCCATGCAGCACCCTGCCTGTTTTCTTTCTCCAGTGTAAAGGGTGAAATAGGACCATCTGTAAGAGTTTAGCTTTGTCTACGCTCCAGTCTGAAGATGATTTGATTTTGCGCACACAGATTTAATCTTCACATTGTTAAGTAACTGTTGACAAATATCTTACCAGACGACTGATACAGCGCCACAGACGCCACAGGACTCCAGGCCTTTTTTCTGTCACACACAACTTCTTTATCCATTCTGTTCCTTGTACCATTTCCTCAGTTATCGCTGTGTTTTTTTTATTTATTTCTTCTCTGAAGCAGCAACAATATAACTCAATATGTCAGAGCAAAAAGACTGTAAGTTATTGACTACAGAGAACAGGGGAGAGAAAATGAGACAAGGGAGAGACTGGAGAAAATCCAGACAAGGATGGCACTTACCTGTCAACACAGCAGACCGACCACCATCCTTTAACGCTCCTCACCGCTGGCTGCCAGCCAGTAAGTGGCAAACAGTTTTGCCCTTTCAAAGACATTAGACACTGATAAAGTGGAAAAAGTGAAAGGAAGGTGAAAAAAAGGAATAGTGGAACATTAATCGGCGCTCCATCTCCATCTGTCATGATGCTTTGGCTGTGTAAGAAAGCCAGAGCCTGAGTGGAAAAAGAAAGCCACGGTCAAACAGAGATGGATGGGAGAGGTGGGTTCAGGCAGATGGCTGGATAAACAAGATAAATGAAAAGATGTGGCGATGGTTAGATGATACGCAGGTTCTACCAGGTCAGGAGCTCAGCACAATGTCACTTGAGCTGTGTGCACAAGTGGGTATCACAGCTGAAGCTTAGGAAAATGAAAAGGGGAAATATGCATTTGAGCTTGAAGGAACAGTGTGTAAACCCAGTCAAAGTGAGCAGATTGAGACGTACTGGCTTGTGACGTCCTCTGCACCAGTTCATTAGTGAAAGCGCCGATGCCTTTGCTGGAGATGGCAGCCAGGGAGAAGGAGTACTCTGTGTTCGCCTTCAGACCCTCCACTGTGTACGAATTTCTCGGCCCGAAGGTCAGCTTCTCCTGTGAGACGGAGGAGTGAAAGGACACAGGGAAAGGTTGGAAGAACGAAGGGAGGGAAAAAAGTTTTTGTTTTTTTAAAGTTGGTCGGAGGAAAAAAGACTAAAACTGCTGCCTGCATTGGAGAGAGTGGAAGGGGTCTCACCAGGCTACCAAACTTGACCGGTTTGTAGAGAAGCTCATAGTTGAGGATTCCTTCCTTGGTGTAAGCAGATTCCCAAGTCAGCTCTATACTGGTGTCAGTCACTTTTCCCACTTTAAACTTCCCTGGTTGACCTGGAACTAAAGGAAAAAAAACAACCACAAGCTGTTATGTTACTGATCCAATGATGAAAACATAGTAAAAGCATCTTTTACCAATATCAGACTTTTTATTTTTTTAAAGCTCCTTCCCTCTTATTACACATTAGATTTTCATTACCTGTTATTAATTCAAGATTTTAAGAATTACATAGTCAGTATTAATCTTCCTCCGACTGATGTTTCATTATAAATCTGTAAATCATTTATTACCAACTACGCTTTCGTTTAACTTGAAACATGTGTGACTTAATTAATGTCTTTGATTTATTAGGTTTGAAATCAATCTCTCAACTGTGTTTTATTTATATCATTTAACAAAAAACCCCATTATCAATTAAAAGAAAAAAATCACAAAGCAGAAGACTGATTTCTAAATGTGTAACATTAACTACTAATCTGTACAACTGTGTTTTTGATTTTAAAATATTACATAAGATCAGACGCTAAGGATGATAATTTAGTTTGCATTGTTTAATTCTCTTTTTTGTGTTGTGTCAATGTTGCACACAAAACTAAAAATATCCATTTTTTTTTTCCAAAATAGAACCCCAGAAAATTAAAGCCTTTTTTCTACATCTCAGTTCAAATCTGTTTCATATTGAATTTTAGGTTTGTGCTAATGAGGCTGCAGTAGGTTTTCAAAAAGGTACACGAAGGTTGAAAGGTGAAACACTGACAATTATTTAAGCACTTGGCATTGGATTCCATTATACTGTACCTCTTATTCAGTACCATATCCTAAGCATTAACCATCACTGCTTAACCACTGCTACA